TGCAGGATTCTGATGGAGTCCACGACGAGACGCTCTACGACTACTTCGTGCGCAACCGCGTTCTTCTGTTTGATCTCTGCTGTTCGGACTTGCGACTGTCAGGATCTGGCAGACTACGAGGAGAAGGTCGCTCCTGCGAGGACTTTGCTTTCCTTTTGGTGGGCCTTCCTGCGGCGGGGTTTTTTGGTGTAGGACCGAGAACGACTCCAAGGATGATTCCCCGGCGGGAAGCAAAGAGGACTCTTGCTGTCACGGCTCTGGAATTTCAATTGCCGGTTCGATCGGGGCCTGCAGTAGGAGTCGCACAAAAAGCAGAAAGAAAAGGAGAAGAAGAAAAAGGAGGCGCCTGTTTGAGATGTCTCATATGTCGCTTCTGCTCCGTTCGCTGCGGCATGCCTTTCCGAAGGACAAGAAGGCAAAAGCCAAAGCTGAGAAGAAGGCCAGCGGGAGAAAGAGGGAATCTGAGTGCGCAGCCTGCCCTCTCCCTGCCCTCTCCCTCCATGCAAAGTCTGCTGCAGGTGCAGAGTGCAGGCGCCACCTGGGTGGCAGCGGTGCTGTCGTGGGCTCGCGCCGCGTGCTGTCGTGTTCGATGGGCTCTCGCAGGCATCGTGAGCAAGTCCGGCATCGCCAGGGGCCAAATTTGAAGCTTCAGAAACAGGAGATGTCTTCCGTTTTCCGGCAGGCCGTGCTGTCGTGCTGTCTAAGGTCGGCAAGACACTGATCGAAGGAAATGGCCACGGGCATGGCGGCACCGGCAGATGAGCTCAAAATCCGCGGGGCTCGAATCCGCTCCCGAAGCTCCCATGGCAGGGCCGGTCGAGGTGAAGCAGCTCGAACTGGACGAGGCCAGCTCCGCCTCACTTCGTCTCTGGTGTGTCTCTGGTGTGTCTCTGGTCGTATGATGTCGTGCGCGAGGTGAAGGTCCAGGAGGCTGGGACCCTGGGAATTCTTTTCCGTCCTGGGCCCCGCCCCCCCCCGCCGGGCGGTCTCAGGAGCAGCTGGTGCAGGAAGCCGAAGAGCGACTGGGACCTTCCTTGGAGACACGCTCTCTTCTCTCTCTCTCTCTCGACCCTTTTTTTGCCTGTCTCTGGCTCTTTGAGGTTCATCTGCAAGATCTGCCAGATCTACGTGGTAGGGCCGCTGGCTCAGGAGAAGCCACCCGGCCACCTTCCATGCTCTTGCTCTGTTTCTTCTTTTCCGAGGTGCGTCCCAAAGCTGACAACCTGTTCCCACATCTTCTGCGGAGATTGCATAGCAACATGGCCAGGGGCTCTGCTATGCGCTGCTCGCAGATGTGAGTCTTTTGTCGGCTCGGCCGGCTCAGGTTCAACCAGCATCCAGACACCCAGACATGGGCACAGCGAGCAAAGGCTGCTGGTCCCGATCGGTGTGTCCCATGCCCTGCAGGGGCCCCAGAAGGGCAGCCTTCAGAGCCCGAGCCGTCTTCTGAGAGAGCGGCGTAGCGTCCGTTAAGGTGTGCAAGAAATCTTTGAATGAGAACCATGATCTATCTCCAGTGCCACTTGCTTGCACTACGTCGCTACGCCTTCGGACGCAGGTCATGAGACATGACACAACTTTTCACATGCATGATTCGGAGCCGAGGTGTAGCAACACGCAGCGGAGTGAGAACGTCCTTCTATGGAGAATGCTTTCACAGAAAAGAATTGTTTGCCTGGCACACAGGAAAGAAGATTTGCAACGGTCGAAGTTTGAGTCGGTGCGAGGCCAGAACAATCCGAAAGTGAGGGGCGAAACTGGAAGATGTGATTGGGTTGGCGAGTGCCCGGAGCGAAGAGAGCGAAGAGAAGCCGCAGCAGAAGCCTTGATGGAAGTCGTGATTCTGATTGTGTGTGTGCGCGTGTGCGCGCTGCGAGGTACTGCAACTACCAAAAGCACATAGACATCTGCAAGAACGTTCCGCTTGCAGAAGCCGGTTATCCTGCGGAGGTGCACTTAGCCCGGTGGCCGGGTCAGGGCAAAGCGGGTCCGCAGCAGGTCTCCTCGGCTCCCAAGGAGGCTCCCGTCGTAGAGAAGGCCGGACCGTGTTATCATGATGTTCCCGGCAGATATTCCGAGCTTCAGCGAGAGCGCCGTCATGCCGCTCTGAAGGCCCCGTGCGTGCCTCCTGTGCCATCAAAGCAGTTGGCGACATCACCTCCCGGACCTCCAGCCGCGGCCCGAAGTTCCGAAGCATGCTGAAGCGACGTCAGTGACCTTGGTCCAAGGTTCACACCGGCCCGGCCCTTGTTCGCCCGCAGGGAAGGACGCAGGCGGTTTCCGCAGGCGGTTGTCTCACAGGTCCGACAACTCCAGCTCCGAAGCAGGCCACAATGCCAGGGTTGCTTTGTGGGTTTGAAGCCGCGAGAGAGTGCAGTTTTGGACCGCAGGCAGCTGCTCCAACCAAGACTTCAGCGCCAACGGCCAGCGTCCCCAGCGTATGCATCTCCAGCGTCTCTTCGTCGGTGATCTCTTTGAAAAGGAGAGAGAGAGAGAGAGAGAGAGCCCCCATGTGACTTCAGAACGATCCCCCGGGGGGATAAACAAACAACCACGAAACCTTTTCACACTCCTCCAAAGTCCCCACAAAATATGGGGGGGCCCTAGTGGCCGAGGGGTCTTAACAGACCCCTCATGCCCGGCGGAAGAAGAGCCCCCATGCCCGAAGCAGTAGGAGTAGTAGAGAGCCCGGGTCCTGCGAGGTTCCGGCGCAGGCTATGGCTACCGCGCCAGCCATGGTGCCCAACGGGACCAACTCGGCCCCTTTGGCGCCCTGTGCACCCAGCGCCCCACCGTCAGGAGAGCTACTGTAGCAACATCTCGGTGACCAAGTCCCTACGGGGAGTGCACGCCACGCTGCGCTGTCACTGCAGGAGTCAGACCGATTCAGACGCAGCCCACGCTGCCGGCAGTTCCATCGCCAGCCCTGCGTCCCGAGGCGAGGGCGGCGAGGGCGAGGGCGGCAGGAGTCAGCGAGTCACAGCGAGCCGAATGCTTCTGAGGTGGCGAGAGTGCAGACAAGGCCCCGAAGGCCTCAGCTTGGATTGCTTCTGCGCGCTGGTACTTGTAGGTCCGAGTACGACATTGGTGGCAGTCCCAGCGTCCTTGAGTGGGAATGCCGCAGAGCGGCCTCAGATCCAAGGTGCGTCCCCGGCCCCAGCAGCACAGTCGGTGCAGCCGCAGGCACCGTGCGTTTTCGTTGAAATTCAGCTGACGTGCTTTGCCAAACCAAAGTTCCAGCACAGCGCGGCTCCAGTTTGTCGCGTTTTCAAGCCAGAAGCATCAGAACACGTCCCCTTCTTCACCTGCCCAGATGCAGATGCAGCAGCCGTGACTCGTCGATGTTCCTTGAATTCTCGCGCCTGCGCGGCTGGGGGGGCCCTTCACTTAGGCGAAGAGACGTGCTTTTCACCGGCAGAGCAGTTGGCAACTTCGAAGCCACCGGTCCCACAATGGTCTGACCCTGAGCCGCCGAGCCGATAACTCGTTTGCCTGTTTGGCGCCTTCGTTTGATCTTTGAGGTTCCTGTCCGGCAAGGTGATGTCATTGAGGCGATTCTCCAATGTGTGACATAGCCAGTACCTTCGGCATTGAAGAAGTTGCATCCGCCAGGTACTGGAAACAGATCCTTCTGGCTGGACCTTCGCTAGAAACACCTCAGCGCTCAGCTCAGTGAAAGCCAGGAGTTGTCCGTCGCGGATGCAATCGCAAAATCTCGTCGCATCGCGTCGCATCGCGTCGCATCGCGTCTCTCGCAGCTGGCTGAGGGCGCCAGCTCGACGGGTTGGGTGCCAACTTGGATCGTCGAGACCCCGGCGACTCTCACACTTCCGCTGTGTCTTGTGTTGTGACATGCTGCAAAGATGAAAACATTGACATGCTCAGGTACCACCGCCCATCGAGCCTGCACAGGCACAGAGACCCGCCACCTGCTCAGCTCGGAAAGCCCTTGAGCCAAGCAAGCGCCGAACAAATAGCTCAAAGCGGGCACATCGTCGCCATGCAGAAGTGCGGCACTCGTACCACGATATGCGCTACACGCACGCGGCGCGAGAGAGCACATGCGTCCACTGGGTTGAGCATCCGCTCGGGACTCCATTTGCGAGGGCCGCTTTGCATCCGTGCGGCGAGGCACTTCTCAAGCAAAGAGCCGAGTCTTTTTTCGAGGTTCCGTCTGAGGTGCAACAAGCACTTCAGACGACGCGGCAGCCTGTGCAGCCCGTACAAGCTCTGCAAGAGACTCGGTTCTGCTTCGCTCCTGACGGGAGGGCGGCGCGTTTCTGTTGCATCAAGGCGGGAGACACGGGAGAGAGATGCAGAAAGCCGAGAAATCTCGTCCTGTTGGCCTGAGCCTCGACCCCTCCTCCCTCCTCAGGTCCCTCAGGTTCGGCTGGACAGACCCGAGAGGGAGGCCCCCAACGTGGCGGCTTCAGCCGCTTCGGCTTCGCTTCAGCGCGTTTCGGACCCTTCTCGAGCACCTCACTTTAGCTGAGGCCGCGCCGGCCCGGGGGCCCGCTCCCGGGCTCGCTCGCGCGCTCCAGCCCTTCACTTCCGGTAGTGACTCTCAGATGACTCTGAACACCTCGGACCGCCACCGGGGCTACTCCTTCAAGCGAGAAGAGTCAGTCTAGAGAGCTAAGAGCTAACAGCCGTGAAGGATTACGTGGAGATCGTGGAGCGCCATCACACGGGCTGGACATTCGGCCGCAAGGCACTGCTCTGTCCAACTATTTGTCTTGTGGGAAGAAGCCGAGCCACGGGTTGTGTTTGCAGGTGGATGCAGTCGGAACTGCGGTATCCGAGGGTTGGTTCCCAGACTGGGTCGCCCAGCTACTTCAATCCAAGCTGTGGCAGAAGCAGCAAAACTTGCAGCAAAACTGGTTTTGCCAGGTCTGCAATCCCAAGCTGCCTGGCAGCAGTCTGTAGCGTCGCATCCTGCGCCGAGTTTGGGTTTCCAGAGGCCCTGAAGCGCAGGTGAAGCTCCGCTTCGCCCGGCCGGCATGGTGGCGCGTAGCTGTAGCTCTGTAGCTTGCGTGTTGAGCTGTTGCCAGGCATCTCACCTTTTTTCAGCAGTTGATGGCCGGTTCGCTTGGTGTTCGCAGCTCAGCTCTGCCGAGCTCTGCAAGCGGCCGCCGGACCCGCCGCCGGACCCGCCGGACCCAGGGTGCCATCCGACGTTGTGGCTCGTGACTGGGGTGATGCTGCGTTTTAAAAACACGACAGAGCTGGTATCAGGTTGCTCTTCTGTTTATTCCGCGCAGCATTTGGACAGACAGTTTTGTCCTTTAGCCAGCATTCGCGATTCGCCCGAGCGTTGGCAACAGCCGCACAGCCTTGGGCCGCAAGCATCAGGAGATTCTGAAATCAGAGATATGCTGCATTGCTGCGATGCACTTGAAGGGTCTTCTCGACGCTTGTCAGACCAGAGTTCCAAAGTGCTCCGGCTAGTGTCAAACTGCTGCATGCTCCAAAAACAGCCCATGCGACATTCGGCCACCTCCGTCAGAAAAACAGAGAGCTCGCCTTGGTCAGTGCGGCGCAGTGCAGAAATCTGCCATGCTCTGCCATGGCAATGGCAATGCTGTGCGATTGTCCGTGTTGGCCTGATCGCAGTCTGCAGCCGCTGCAGCGGGAATTTGTTTGCCTGGCTATGGGTGGCCTTAAGAATGAATGACCCGTCTCTGGATGATGGCGAGGAGCGAACTCGATTGACGGCGCTCCTTTCTCTCTTTGCTGTTCGCACGAGGAGAAGAGCCACAGTATCGAGGACCTCTTGCGAGCTTTGGAAAAGCACCGTCCGCTCCCCCAGTGGCCGGCGCACCGGCCGATGCGTTGAGGATGTGACTTGTTGCAAGGTGCCGAATGTGAGCAAGCGGGCAGGCCGGCGGACTGGGCGAAAGCGCAGGGGGCCCTTCCCTGCATCTCGGTGTCGCTCAGGTACGAAGAGGCGGAGCTGGCACGGCTACGCTTGGACCAGCTCCGACAGCACGAGGCGAGGACCGCAGGTGCTCCGGTGCTCTACAGGTGCTCTTTTGTGCTCTTTTCTTGTCAGGAGCGGAGTCGACGGGATGCCCTCATGGAGCAGCAGCACAGGGCCCCAGAGTCCCCGCTGGCCCGTGGTGTCTCAGTCGCTTTTTCGCCTATTGCAAAAGGGCGGGGCCGTCTGCCCCCCCCCCACCCCGCGGCGGGCGCTGACAGGCATTACTAGAGTAACTAGAGCAAGCAGACTAGAGCAAGCAGAGGCTTACCCCACACCTCACATCCTATACCCCCCCCTAGACTTTTACCTCAATTCTCAACCCGCCTCCCAAAATCAACCTTCCAACACACTGAAACACAAAGCACCTCCCAACAATCAATGCAATAATACCGAAAACAAAGCAATCCCCAAAACCAATACAACAATCCAAAACAAAACCCAAACCCAAAGCACCTAAGCAAATCTTACACCAATATCCTAATACGAGGTGTGGGGTAAGACACTAATAGAAAAACCTTCAAAGCTCATAACCCTGCACCTGGGAAATGACGACAACGGCGAGTTCGTCTATGAGACGGTGCGCCTGCCATGTTTGTGAAGCTTTGGCAATTCCTGTGATTTGAAGGCGGCACCATTGCTTACACCGTGCAGTTCCGGCTGCAGCGTTTCAGGAGTTGCATTGGCCCTTTGATCGACGCAGATGTTGTTCTCATTCATGTTAAGGCAGAAGCTGAAACAGAACCCAAACCCCCAAGCCCTAAACCCTAAACACCTGTGCAATGGTGCACCCAAATACACGTCGCTCAACAGCGCTGCTAGTGCTGGTTGCTCTGGCACATGTGGTGCACCATAGCTTCGTGGTTGCTCCGTTGCCGGCACTTCCGGTTCATTGCTCCGTGCGTCCTTCTGGCATTACCAAGACGCTCGTGTTGCGCCAGGCAAAGGAGGGTCAAACTCAAAGGGTTAGGGCGTTGGAGTATAATTGTTGCTCCCTGAGGTGGGCGCAAATCAGCATTGGCCGTATGGACTGGTGGGCGATGAGAAGTCCTATGCCCGTCAGGTGGATGGCAACTTCTTCGCCGATGTCAAGAACAGTAGCTTTTTCCTGAAAGCTTTGAAGGAAGATGCCCGGGATAAGCAAGTGGATGCAGATGCGCACCTAAAAACTGTGCGACTTAATGCCAAGAAGTTCATGCAGGGAAACACGATAGTCGACCGCAAGGCTTTCATTCAGAGCCTCACGGATGCGATCTTCGAAGACGGCCTGCTCACCTGGTCTTGGGTGGCAAGAGTGTGGGCAAGCCGTTGGTAGTCTCGCATATCGCGGAACACGTCAGGCAAGCGCCAGGTGAAAACAGGACAATCCTGCTGGTCAACACGCAGGCAGATGCCTGCCAAAGATTTCTACGAGGCCACGCTGTCAGTGGCAAGTAAGCAGACTAATGTTCTAGACATCCTCACGCAGCTGCCGCTCGTTGGAAAACGGTTTCGTGCTGGACCACAGTCCCGAGTCTGGCGGTTCATCCAGCAACTGCCCTTCATGGCGCCCGCGCTTGGGGCTTTGCGAGCTGGAGTGGCAACAGCGGCTGCACCATTAGCAATGGCCGTTCAAAACTTCGTGAAATCCCTGGACGACGACCACAAGGCACAGGCTTTGTCCGAGTTGGTTAAGAGCATCGTAGAGAAGGGCAACGACACCACCATCATCATCGACGAAGCGAACCTGGCGCTCCCCAACGACGGCAACGATGCCAAAGCAGAGACAGTCAAGAGGGCTTTGGCTCAAATCACCGGCAGCACCAAGGAGGCCTTCCAAGCCTCTGTCGTCCTCATCAGCTCCGAGCACGGCTACCCCTTCAAGTTGGCCAAAGCCGGTCTCAACCTGGTGGACATCAAGAACATTATCATTGCTCCGGAAGTGCCGCCGGTCGACATGTTCAAGATGCTCACCGGCCACTGGGGCATGGGGCCGAGACTCGACTCTTCGTGGCCACCTACGGCGGCTCTATTGATGAACAAACGCGACCAGTTCTATCCGCTGCGCACTACATCCGTTCCGGGCATAGGCAACTGCTTGGGTCAGGCACGTTAGGGGCAGGTTTGGGTTTGTGTCTGTCGGGTTAGGCAGGTTCGCACTAATTCATTTGGACCTGCGCAGGATGATGCCCGCGAGCACCTCATCAATATCGCGCTGGATGGCTTTTCGCCCGTGTCGGTCTATGAGACGGATGAAGGTGCAATCAGAGCATCAGCCAAGAACGTGGCGGGCATCATTCCTGGCGAGGCCCAAGCGCCGGGTCTGTGGCCCGAGGTTTTCCACGAGACCGATGAGAAGTACGTCCTGGTGGCCTCCACGCACCATGTCCGATTGTTGATTTGCGAGGTGCGCTTCGTCCAATCAGCCTGTCATGTTGTAGGTAGGCAGGGTTTGCGCAAGTTTGTGGCCCTGTGAGGCGCTCCTCAACAAGGGCTACATCCAGAACAACGGTGGCAACTTAGCGAGGGTTTCACCGAGTTGGTTTCAAAGCCTTCTCCAAATATTCAGATGACAGCCTTGCATGACAACGCACAGTGGACACCCGCGCATAATTTGATACAGTGTTTCAACTGACCGCGCCAGAAGAAGTCGCGGAAACTACTTACCGAATAGGAGCACCTCATGACAACAGAGTGCCAGAGAGCAATGTGCCACCAGATATGAAAGCACTTTTCGGCGGTGCTGTTTGCAACTCCCTAATCCCCTTACTAATAAACCCGAACACGATTTCACAACGCGACTTGTAACGTGGCAGGTGCTCATCTTCATCAACGACGTTGACCGCTGCGACTTCAAGACTCGGGGTGCACCCTGTTCCCTGTTCAGGGTTTTATGTAGGGGTTTTCGTGGTAGCTTTTGTTCGCTTCATATTTGTTGTTTTCTTGTTCTTCCTCGAACTTTGAGCAGTTCATGCCTCAAGTAACCTCTATTATCATCATCTAAATAGTAATAGATTTGTCCTAATTTCTTATCTATTTGTTTTACTGTTTGGGGGGTTCTCACCCAATGGCTCGTTTTCTCTTTTTCGCTAATGCCTTTTTTGCGCATTATTTTAACACTATCGCCTACTTCTATCTCGGGGTATGTTCTATTTCGTTTTGCCTGTAAAGATATATTCAATTTTACTTCAAATTCATTTTTAGGTAATTTTGCTTGGGATGGCGTGAATTTAGTAGTAGAATGAATAGTTTTGTTACTATACGTTAATAGTATCTCAAAAATATACTCTGTCCATTGTATGTTGGCTTTTCCTTTCTTTTCATCGGCTTCAACTCGTTTATAAAGGGCATCTTTGAATGTTCGGATACCACGCTCACTGTATTGGGCATGTCCTCTGGTTCTGTGATGTTCTATATTACGTTCTTTCAGATAGTCTTGTATAGTATTTAAAGCGCTTTCATCATCCGTATACAAAAGTTTTGGTGTTCCTCCCATTTTGTTAAATCCTTCAATCAAAGCACTTGCTACATCTCCTGCGCTTTTGCTTTTAATAGGTATAACAACCATATACTTGGAGAAGGCATCTATCATTATAGCACCAACTTTGAGTTTTTGGTCAGGAATATCATTTATAAAGAACAAACCAAACTGGAATTCCCACATTGATTTTTTCGGTATGAACGAATTCTCACCTCTCATCTTTCTCTTCTCTTCAACGTGTCTCTTAAAGAATTCCTCAACATCCTCTTTTGTGATAGTTTTGTCCTTTTCCCGACTGTCTTTAAGTGTAGTCGCCTTACTCCCAAAACCGGAGCGGTCATAATGAATACTGCGTATAATATCTTGTTTAGATATCATAATAATAATAAAAAAAAATATTTCCTTCTACTAACCCTTTTTAACTAATTCTCATGTCTTTTTGTTTTTTCATGCTTTGCCTTATCGTTCTTGCGATGAACAGAGCCACACGGGCATTCTATTTTTTGCGCCTGATTTGCCAACACCTTTTCCTTATTATGTTCGTAATGTTCCCTGTGTTTTGCTCTTATATTTTCTTTGTTCTGTAAATAATGCTGTCTATGTTTTTTCAGGATGTCTTCCTTGTTTGCTTCATACCGTGCTTTGTCCCGCTGTTTTACTTGTTCTTTATGGCTTTCATAGTATTCTTTGGCTTTCTCTTTGAAGTATTCGGGTCTCTCCTTGTATTGTTTTTTCTTGGACAGTTTCCCGCATTCTCGTCTCCATTCCTTATTCTCTTCTTCGTATTCAGCCACTTCTCTACCTGCGATATACATATTCACGCATTCATTTGCTCTAATGAAATGCCCTTCCCTTCTACGCAGTTCCATAGAAGTTTCACAGGGGAATACTTCAACAAGTTCAATTTTACAGTTTTCTACACCAAACTCTTTGAACACACAAAAAGATGTCATAAACTTGTTGGTATCGTTCAAGTATCAGACAACAGATAATCTGTTGTAGTGGTTTCAGTGTCTCGCCATTCTTTGGCTCAACTCTTCACAAGTAGAACCTATATAGCACTTGTTATAACCAACATCAAGAATCTTATAAATCTTACTATTCTGATACTTACTCGTATCCCTATATATCCTAAACTATCTTTTCTTTAAACCTCTTTTGGTGGGCACTTACGTTACAATAAACACAATAACAGACACAATTATCAACTTCGTGTGGTCGCTGATTATCTAATCGCTGAGCTGTAAAGTTGCTACATAACTTCTGGCAGTGCGTCATAACTTCCACACCCTGTAATGGTTTAACATCGCCCGTCCCAATAACGATAATATCAGGATTTCCCTTAATGAACCGTCTGACCTTATCCAATACATATAAGTTAGACATATAAACCTCGTCGAACACCACCACATTGAAAGGGGAATAGTCAAACGCTGGCAACTTTTCTCCGACATCTTCGTGAACAGCAATGCTAAAAAACTTGTTATAAGTTGTCGCTTCTACTTCCTTTTCTTGTAAGAGTCGGTTGGTTGGCACTACAAACAAAACATTCTTACCCATTTTTTGGAAATACTCGCCTATAGAACTCTTGCCAGTGCCCGGGAGCTTGCCACGAATTATGACGGGGCTTCTTAACATGATTTTCTCGCAGGTTGTTTTAGTGTCCCACTCGTCTTCAACTTCAATTTTGATATTACAAATTTTCGGGATTTCCGGCACTTCGTTAAACTTGTATGTGTATAACTGCGTAGGCAGTGTAATTGTTTTCTTTTCTTCCAGTCTGCAAGTGCCCATGTCAGTTCCAAATTTAAGCAGTCCTTCTCTCCACACACGGCAAAAATTGGATCCATATACCTTATCCACATCGTCTTCGTGTATCGTCAAGCAATCTGTCTTCACACTATATACTGTAATGTCATTATCGGATAATGTCTTGTATGCTTCATACATCTTAAAATTATGATACTGCAATAACAACTCTTTGGTATACATAAAACCATTTATTAAAGTCTTCTTTTTCTGACACACTTAACACATAATATTTTGTTCCTTCTGTCTCCGTTGTTTCAAATTCGTCTTCATGCACTTCGTTAAGTTCTGTCTGACACTCGCTTTTAGTATATACTTTTCCACCGTAAATGCTTTGATAGTAACATGCCTTCTTTAATGAAGTAAAGGTGCTACTTCGCTGACGTGTGTTATTGGATTTCTCCAACATCCCGACGCTGATGTTCCATAATTTCTTCTGTGTCTGCTTGTTGAAGTCTTCTTCATCTGTTATTTTTGTTGCATACAGTTCATCTATCAACTTTTTATAATCCACCTTGTAAATTTTGCTCGGTTGCTTATACCATAGTATTTTAAGTTTAACGTTGTGTTTCAGCAGCTTCTTCAACAACTTGCGGTAAACTAAGCAATACTTCTTGTTGAAAATGATGTTTGCTTCATACACCTCTACAATGTATAATGTCAGGTTGTTAAACTGGTCTGTGATACAATCCTCATCTAAATATGTCAAACTGTGTAAATTTCGGGATGTATTTTATACTCCCTCCCGCGTGTGTAAATGCCTTGTTAATATCTATTTCTTTTATCTTCTTAACCGCAACATCTTTACAAAACCCACCTACTGGCACCATTGTTTTACACTCTTTAAGGATTTGTATATCTACCTCGTTATAATAGGATAAGTGATTTTCTTTGAACAACTCTTTTTGTAAGTTAAACATGGTTGTAGTGATTTTGTTATACACTTCCTCAGTATCAGTGATTACATCTTCGCCAACTCGTTCTTGTGATAAGCACTGTGAGACAGTTGTATTCAATGTATTTTCTTCAACTTTTTGAAGTAAAACTTACATAAGATATTCGTAATCCGCCCCGCTTGATAGTTAATGTGTGGTTTATATCCTGCCTCGTTCAGTTGATGGAAGACCTTGACTAAATCATTGTCGAAATGTATCAGTGCGTTTTCTTCCATATCGGTCATACTCAGCAGTTCATCTACATTATCAAGCATCTTATATTCAATTGGTTCTGTTCTATCGGTGATGTAGAACTTGCTTGTTGTAAAGGCATTGTATTTATCCTTTGGTTGAATTTGCCTTAGTGTCTCTACATCGTGGTTTAATAAATATATATGATTGTTTTTAACAAGTCCTCTGAATATTTTTACTCGCCCCTTCTCATAATTGTCAGGGTTATATTCATAAATCAGAGCACCTGTAAAGTTGTATAATCTAACTGGTATATTGAAGAATTTAAAGACCTTCTCCATTCGGTTTATAGTCGCCCCGGTGTTAATTTTAACGCTACGCCGCCCGCCTCGGCTCTGTAGCGGCAGGGCGAGGCGGCAGTGGATGTTGTATACAGCATGCTAAGCGGGCCTCTCAACCCCAACCTCGAAACGGGTGCGTGTCGATTGTGCGAGCGCCATCTTCCGGGCACGGGGAGGGAGGGGGGGAGGGGAGGGGGGGAGGGGAGGGGGGGAGGGGGTGGGTGGCTTAAATAGGGTTTGGAAGCTGGCACTCGGGTTTTGTTGTGGTCATATATCCTCACACGAAGGCCGGCGAGCTGATACCAGCGAGCTAGGGCAGGTATTGGAACAACATTCTGTTAATGTCAGGTTTGTGTCACGAGACCTGAGTCGGACAGCAAGCTAACACAAAGAAAGTGGCAAGCAGCAACCAAACAGGCCCCTCCAACTTCACGAGAATTCAAAGGTCTCCGTTTACCCATCGGTCGGAAAGAAGATAACTCCTTTTTCTCTTTGGGTCCCGAACATTTCCTGTACCTTTTCAAAAGATGGAGAACAGCATACGCACCAGAAGAAGAAACCTCCGTTCTCTCTTGGCAAGGGAAAGAGATCTTGATTATTTCCTTTACCTTTTCAAAAGATGGACAAGGGGCATACGCTCAAGAAAGGGTGGAGATTCCCCCAACAAACAACGAAAACACGGAGAAAGTCGCTCCAAGTCATTCAGCTGATTTCTAGCAGCGAGCTCCTCTATCTCTTGGTAACTCTCCATCTCCTCTGACGATAAATGAAGGGAGCTCGCTGCTTCGTCATCCGCAAGAAATGAGCTTCTTTTC